AGCTCACTCTTGCAAATAAATAACCACTCTCAAATTTACTTCAAATCACAGAAACTTGGAACCAGTGGGAGCCCCTGTGTGTTTGCTCTGCCCCCGCCCCCATTCCCTTGAACCCTTAAAGAGCCCGCTCTGGCTGAAGAACCCACTGGGCACCTGTGCCAGGGCTGGGATCCTCTTTCCTGGGGGGGCTCCTGGGGAGGAATGGGTTGCCATGGAAGCAGCCAGCTCAGCGGAGCCAGGTAAGCTATTTTAAGAAGTGGAGCTTTTTTACACCTTCACAGGAAAATGGATCAAATTTCTGGGTGGGAAGTCATGCCAGGAGGCAGCTTTCTGAAACTCAAAAACCAGAAGGCTGCACAGCTGGTTTTGGATGGGGGCAGGGTGGTGACAAGGTGGGGGGTCAGAGGCCCCACAGCCGCCCCATTTTGCACTGTCTGTTGCTTGTTGTCTGGGAAACATGGCTTTGCCTTCACATGCCCACAACCTCCTTGGCTCAAGATGCAGGATGACTGGGGGGGGGGGGGTCTCCTCCCCCTCACACACCAAGGCTGGAGATGATTGAGAACAGCTCTGGCTCAGGATGGGGGGGCCTCAGGGCATGCAAGGTCAAGGGCCTGGGCAAGCCCAGTGCTCACCCCTCCCTCTGCACCCAGTGCTGGGCTGGACAAGTTTTGGGGGGAGGGGTGCAGAGATGGGTCTTGACAGGAGGACAGGACTGCAGGCAAAGGAAACAGGTCTGTGGGGGTGAGGGGACAAGCACAGGGGCCCCAGCAGGGTCCTGAGCAGGGAGGGACATGTAGGTAGCTCCTCTGTGTCTAGGTGCCGAGAAGGTGGAGACCCCGTGTCCCGTGCCCAGGAAGGCCCGGCACAGTGTCTGCCAGCGTCTCATCTCCTTCCTCCTCGGTTCTCCAGCCCCTCCCGTGACATCGGTGGACACCGAGGGCCCTGGTGCTTCCCTGCCTTTGCGCCTCCCCTGGACTTCTTTCCTCCTCTCTTCTGTCTGGTGACCGCCGCTCTCCCAAGGCCTGGCACTGGCCATGGCAACTGAGCCACTGCCCTGGACCCTCGGGCTCTGTCTCTTGGACTCCTGAGAGTTGAGCCTCTTGACCAGTCTCCAGCCAACTGGAGTAACATCCAAACATGTACAAAGAGCCCAGTGGCACCTTGGAGGACCAAGGTCACAGATTGCTCATCTCTGCAGGCCCAGGGGCTAGCTGGGCAGGAGACCACAGGGCTCTGGGGGCGCGGGTCCTGGGGGGAGACAAGGAGAGAAGCCTTGCCCCACTCTGCGGGGAGAGGGAGGAGGCAGCCACACCAGGAAACCCAAACTGCCATCTGCAGGAGGGCGGAGTAAGGCGGAGGAGGCCTAAGGCAGCCAGAGAATGTCACTGGACTGGCTGATTCGGGTTGGGGATGATGGGAGTAAGGGATACATATCGTCTGTGTCTGTGTGTCCCTGCTCACCCCAGGCTGCCCCACTGGCCCTGTCCTGCTGTCCTGCCATGCCACAGAAAAGAGAGCATAGGGAGGGAGGGCAGGCACACACAAGGCAGGCGACCCACTGCACCAGGGTCCTGAGGCCCACATGTCGGGCCGTGGCTTATGAGCACTTAGGTCACCAGCAGGACTAACCTGATCCAGCAGTGCCCCACTGGGCCGGCAGCACCGTTAATGGGGACAGGCACTGCTCCCTCCCCTCTCTGCCTAATTCCTGAGCCTCAGGATCTTTCTAGCTGGTAGTCCCAGCCCCTGGGTGGCCACACCTCCTTGGTGCTCCCAGACCACCTGCCATTTGGGGGCGGCTCTCATCCCATCCTGAGCACAAAGGACACTCGCTGAGCAGGGAGTGCAGCCTTTTTTTTTTTTGCAGCCTGGCTGCCCAAAGACACACCCACCACAGGGCCCCTGAGGGACAGAGACGCAGCAAGTGTGTCAGTTTCGGTTTCGTTTGGGTTTCGAGTGGGAGCCGTGGGAGTTGCACTCTTGGCAAAGCCCAGCCGTTTCCAGTCTGCAATGTTAGCACCTCAAACTTTCAGTTTCAGCAGGTCTGGTGATTTCTATTTAGATTTCAGGAGGTTTGTTAAGCTGCCCCAATTTGATCACAGAAAGCAATCAGTCGAATGCTGAGGAGCGACAGAAAAACGCTTCGGGGGGAGTCCGTGGGACGTCCCATAACCTCAGTGGGTCTGAGAGTGAGCAGTTGGGTTGCTGGGCGACTGCCTGTTCCGTGCCCCCACCTGTCATGCCATTCCCATGGCGACACGGCATGCCACAGAAATCACACCCCGCAGGGGAAAGGGTGGCGTGAGTCCAGCACAGTGTCTAAGGCCCCAAAGCGGCAGAGCTGGGGTGGGTGGCCAGGTCTCCACAGAGAGGCTGGTGGCACTTGCCACCCCATGGCCCTGGAGGTCAAGAGATTACAGGAGCTTTCCCACCCCCAGCCCTGAGATGGAGCCCGCACCTGCGGGGACCCTCCAACTGGCCTGGTGTGGGCAGATGGGGAGACCGGCCCTGCCTGGGGCGGCGCTGGTCCTCTGGTCCCCTGCGCAGGAGGTGGACCCTGCCTCACTCAGGCAATGGCGAGAAGGAGACTGAGAGGCCTTCCCGGAGCTCCGGAGAGAACAGGTTGCTCAAGACTATTGACAAGGAGAGGGCTCAGACAGTAGCCCTCGGGGCAGGGGTGTTGGAGAAATGTCCTGAGGCAGGGGCTGGGGGACGGCTGGCGCCCTGCAAGGGGCCTTTGGGAGGAGGTGGTTGCCTTGTGGAGGCTCAGGGCGGGAGGGCCATGTGGTGGCGCTGGTGCAGGAAGAGGGTGCCACTCCGGGGCGGGGCGGAGCCCTGAGTATGGGCACCCCTAAACCGCAGCACCTGAACACGGAGCATGGGGGCCAGGTCAGATGCGACAGGAAGCCACTGAGGGCCCTTGGGTCCCCTGAGGCCGGGCCAACCCTTCCTAACTGGGGAACCCAGAGGAAAGCAGGTCTGCCTTCCCCAGAACAGGTCCCGTGGGACGCTAGTCCTGCAGGGGGTTCTGCAGAAGCAGCGACCAGTGATGGACAGACAGCTTCGGAAAGCAGGGTGACGCCCCTCCCGCCAAGGGGGTAAGTGATTTAACGCTGAGACGTTGGGGCCTGAGGACAGTGGAAGGCATGTCAGGATCTAATCTGGTGGAAAATCAGATCATAATAAATAATAAATCATGAAACCTTGGCAGGCGGGTGGAAACCACAAGCCAGAATACCAGCGACCACTGGACCTTCATGGCCCCTCTGGGGCCTGGCTCCCCTCCTTCCTCACTGGTGTCAACACGGGTGTGCCTGGGGCACCGTGCAACCCCGTGAGGCTCTCTAGCACCTTCCTCAGGAGCGGGGTGCAGGGGCTGCACCCTCACCAGGGACAGCTATCAGCTATCAACAAGGACAAGGCAGGGCCTCAGGGATGGGTTTGGCCTCCATTCTCCCAGAGCTGCAGGGGCAAACACCTCACCCCACGAACACGGGTCTGCAGGGTTGTCTGTGCGGCAGCTGAGTCTCTGATCCTCCAAGACCCCTGGAGGGGCAGAGAGGCCAGCAAGCAGTGGAAGGCTGGGCAAACCCTTTGGAGAACAAAAGAACAGGCCTCTTTCCCTCACAGGAGAGGGCCGCGCACAGGGTTCAAAGCCACAAGACACAGGGAGGATGAAAAATAAGTGCATGAGTAATGTTAGGGTGTTAGGACACCCACAGAACTGGGTGCCAACAGGAGGCTGTGACCCCGCAGCCACAGTGTCCTCGGGATGACGAACGCTCTGCAGCAGGGCCCGCCTCCTCTAAGGAAACAAACCCTAGTGCAGAAATGGGGCATAAAAATAGAAGGCGTGCTCCAATTATGGCATCTGCTGTGATGCTGACAATAACCAACTGCCCACAGCCGTCCGCAGCGGGCAGAGTGCCCAGCCCACAATCGCTTCCACACTTAACCGGGGTTTCCATGGGGTCTCCTTCCTGGGTCATGCACCGCAGGGAGCTGACCCTTCTCCCAGGGCCTGCGTGCTCACTCACCTGCCCTGTCCAGGGAGGTCCCAGGGTGCAGAGGTGTGCTGCCCCCTGGCCACCCCAAGGCAGGGGCAGGAGGGCCAGGCCTCATGCCGACTAAGCTTGAGCCGTGATACTGCAGCCCACACCCCTGTGTGAACTGGCGAGGCAAGGCGGGGCCGCTGCTGCTCTCCCGAGCCCTCGTTTAGTGTGTGCGGGAGGCGCTGGGAGCGGCAGCTCCCTCTCTCCCGTGCCTTGTGCTGCCTGCTGGGGAGCCAAAGAAAAGGAAAACAAATCCTCTCCTTATCCCAACGGTGCAGGGAATGCGATTTCCTTGTGTCTGTGTTGAAGACCAGCCTTCGTCCCCGTAACACAAGTTCGGTTTTGTGTGCTGCTTGCTCACCTACTAGTCTATAGGGCTTTTCCGGGCTCTGTGACTCGGTCACTTGTTCACAGCTGTCCCGTAGGCCTTTGGGTTACGAGCTGTGGCCTCCCCTTGGCACTGACGGCTGGAGCCACCATGGGAACGTGGTGGGAGGGCCTCCTTCTGCCTTTGCTGGCACTTAAGGGGGCACCACCCTCAGCCCGACTCTGAGCAGAGCTCCTCAGAAAGTGCGGACCCTGCCCCCCACTTCTCCTACCGAGTCACCAGGCGCCCCTGGGACCCCGTCGCCCGGCTGACTGCCCGACCTGTAAGGGGAGCCTTTCATGCACAAGAAGCCCTCATGTGAGTGTTTCATTTCACTCAGCACGAATATCTGCTTCAAGGCCAGTGGGGCTAATTTCTACAGCGAGGCCTGGCAGGTCATACACGAGGACCCACTGGTCTGTCGCAGACGGCGTCCGCACTGCTGAGCAGGTCACTGGAAACTACTAACGTACATTTTCCTGGCCCCAGGACAGCCACGGCCGCTTATCCTTGGAAATCATCTGATGCCAAGTGATCACACTCGAGAAGTTTCCACGTGCAGCTGGCTCTTGGTGTCAATGACGGAGAGTGAGCTGAGGTGGGGGCCCAGCGTGGGGAGAGGGCTCCTGCCCCCAAGGAGCCACGGGGCCCCGAGGGGGCAAGGGCTGCACCTGCCTGGCTGCTCCCCACATCCTAGAGCTGGGCGAGCAGGAGGAGCTGAGTACAAACCTGTCGGATGAACTGAGTGGAGAGAAAGGGGGAGCAAAGTGTCTTGGGAACTGCAAGGCAGTGTGCAGGGGTGAGCCGTGAGGGGCATTAAGGTGCTTTGGGGTTAGAAGACAACTATGGGTTCAGGATATTCCTCATGCCAGCCCTGACTTTTGAGCCCATACAGGAATCCAAAGTGACATGAATCCCAACTCCATTGCCCTTGCGACCGGCCCCACCTCAGCCAGACCTTGGCTGGCCTTGGCTCCTACGCAGTTCCTGCAAGGAATCTCTTTTGCCCTGCAGACATTCTGGAGCACTCGCCCACCTTCTCTGTCTGCAGTGTGGTGGGTGGGGGTCCTGGCCCTAGGAAGAGCTCTGTGGGAAGCCAAGGAGGGGACCCAGTCCCTGCTGGAACCTCATCCTTTGAGCCATGTAAGGCAGACAGGCAAATTCATGTCCTAGAGAAACAGGAGCTAAAGCAGCCCCTGTAGTTTAATCAAGTTACAGACAGACTGGTCGTCTATGAAGAAGCCTTGGGAGCCAGCCCAGGGGCCGGGGTCTGCGGGACACGGTGATGGAACAGAAGGCAGATGATGAGAGGGACTGGGGCAGCCTGGCAGGCAGACCCAGGCCTGACAGCTGGGAACCAGGCCCCAGGGCTCGGAGCCGGAGTGTGGAGAAGGGGCTGGAGGGGGTCTGCTGTGGAAAAGACTCAGGGAGCCATTCACCAGCACCCCCACCCCTCTGCACTGGTCCTCCCTGTGCTGGTCAGCATGAAGCGGCTCCTGCGGAGGCTGCACTCTGAGCACCCAGGTCCACCACCACCACCCTGGCCTGGTCTCCTCCATATCCTGCCTGCTGATGGCAGTCACCGCCCCCCCACACCGGTTACAGGGAACCCATCAGCAGGACCAGGGAGGAAAGCTATCTGAGCAGCTGCTGCTGAGAAGGAACATCGATCTGAAGATACAGCCGTATTTGGGAAGAAGCTGTGTAAGAGGAGCCTGGGCGAAGACGAGTGAGGAGGGAGTGAGCTGGCTCTTTCCCCGAGAGGAAGAGCACGCAGGCCGGCTCCAGCCACCTGCTTGCCCAGCCGCCTTCAGTGGAGAGCTGCTGTCTACAGGGCCAGCGAGCTTCATTCTCAGATCCTTGACAGTTATATTCCTTACTGTAAATTAGTACATTGGGGTTTTTACTTTCTAAAAGAAACAGAAATTAGAAATCCCAACATGTGGGTGTGGGTAGGGCAGGGGAGAGTAATGGGGGAGGGAGAGGGGGACATCTGCAATTGCACAATAATAAAAAACAAAGAAACAAAGAAAAAGAAATTCCAACATGTGATACTATTTGTCAAGAACCTGAAGGCAACTATTCCTAAAAACGACAGAGAGATGCTTCAAACCGCCCAGTCCTGGTGACCAGGAGCTGGTACCTGGTCAGGAAATCTGGCCTTGGGGAGCCATGGTGGGGGGACAGGCGCAGAGTCACTGTGAGAGCAGGGGGGAGGGGAGGGGGGTGGGCTGAGGGGGAGGGAAGAAGAGGTGAGAAGGTCAGAATGGAGAAGGAAGAACCTAGTCACAGCAAAGTTTGTGAGGAGGACCGTTTGCCCACCTCAGGTGGGGCCAGCTGGCTCTCCTCCAGTTGCGGGGACCTCTCTGCTCAGGTGCTGTGCCCACGGGGAACCCCCCACAACCAGAGCCAGGCTGGGACCCTCTCCTCAACTTCGGAGCCACTTGAGGCACAAGGGTGTCTCACCTGTGCCACGGGGCCGAGGAAGGAACCTGGATGCACCAGAAGACACGCGTGCCACGCAGCCCGCAAGGGCATCAGAGCGCAACCTGGCAAAACCCGAAACCCCACAGCCGGGTGGGCTTGAGTTACAACCAGACGGTCTGCAGAGATCCGACATCGTTGGGCCAAGTTTCCGCCCAAGACCCATTTCATACTCCCCTTAAGGAGGTCACCCTGTGGTTGACAACTTTCTGGTGTCTTCCTACCGTATTCATCCTCATTGGAAGGGGGAGGGACTGGTGGGCATGTAGTGGGGGGGCTGTGAGGCCTCGGGGGGGCTGTGCTGAGGAATCTCAAAGGCCATTAAGCCCTGGAGGAACTCGGGCCTTGGAATGGCTGTGTCTTAAAAAGGCCCCTTTTCTGGAGCAGGTGAGCCCGAGGCGGAGGCCCAGGCAGCAGCAGCAGCCACCGCCTGCTGACGACACAGTCACATTACAGTTCCTCAGGCACTCTGCCAGACACGTCCCCCTGTCATCGCACCCCTGTGCCCTGGTTACCACTTCCACTGCCCTGAAATGTCAGGGGTGCCCAGGTTCTGGGAGGCGAGGTCTGACTCTGGACTTTGGCTGCTGGGGCCCTGAGAAAGGGATGTGGGGGCAGTGAGCACGTAATCCAGGGGACAAAAGAACAGCTTCTTTACAGTGAGGAAGGAACCCCCCGTAGAATTAGATATCTCATAAAAAAATGCCCTTCAAATAAAGGTAAACTAGAGCCGGCTGTGTGCAGAAACCAGAGGTGGGGTCGCAGGCCTGGTGCACAGCCAGCCACACGCAGGTCGGGACCAGGATGGACCTTAACCGCCCCCCCCAACAAACCTGTGCCGCTGTCCCAGGCTGTGGCCTCCTGGGAGCCATGGGGCAAGGTCGAGTGTGGAGAAGCACCTATTTCACTGGAAATTTTTTGGAAAGGAGCTTAATAGGAACGCCAAGAAATGCAGTGAAGAAAAGGCAGAAAAGGCCAAGACGAAGAAGGCCATTCAGAAAGCAACACAGAAGTTGCAGGAACGCCTGCTGAAAACGTGACCTGCCAGAAGAACCGAGCAATTTATTTCTTGGGAATGAGTGTGAGGGTGGATGCCGTGGCAGCGGGAGTTCAAACCACGGTGACCAGGGGCACGGTGACCAAGTCCACGGCGGGTGTAGTTAAATCTACGGAGGCTGCACTGAGAAGCAGGAACCTTGAAAAGATTTCTGCCCTGATGGGCACATTTGCACACCAATTGGGAACACTGGACGTTCAATCACAGCAAATGGAAGGCACCGGCTGCAGCACTACAACCCTAACACCACCGCACAACCAAGCGGATGGGCTGCTTCAACAAGCGGCAGGCGAGGCTGGCCCTGATCTCAATATGGAACCACCACAGGGTCAGACAGCACCTGCCGGCACCCGTGCCGCCTCCGCGGGGCAGGATGGACTGTGGCGGAGACTTGCTCACGTGTGGTCCAGAGGACCAGCACTTCTGTTCACTTCCCCTGCTTCTGGAATATTCCGTGTGCACACGGACAAGGTGCCCCCCATTCACGCCAAGAACACTGCATTATGGAATGCCTGAACACTGTTTACATGGCATGCCTTCACTTCACTTTTTTTTTAAGATTTTTATTTATTTATTTTTAGAGAGGGGAAGGGGGGGAGAAAGAGAAGGAGAGAGAAATATCACTGTGTGGTTGCCTCTCCTGTGGCCCCCACTGGGGACCTGGCCCGCAACCCAGGCATGTGCCCTGACTAGGGATGGAACCTGCGACCCTTTGGTTCACAGCCTGCGCTCAATCCACTGAGCTATACCAGCCAGGGCTGGCGTGCCTTCTTTTGCCATGCTGTCCTTTCCAGTACTTTAAGAAATTCCAGAGGGTTTCTACCTTGACAGACTTTACAGCTTTGTGTATTCTGTTGAAAGGTGAGGACTTTTTTTTTTTTTGGTAAATGACTTTGACCAAGCTGACATTAGCTTGTTGTACCTGAAACATCTTCGAAAACTGAGTCAAACATCTAGCAATGAAGTACTACAGAAGGAAAATGTAAAGGTTTCAGTTTCTTCTGAATTCAAAGTCATTTTAAATCTCTGTATTCACGTGCTGCACAAAACAAAGGCACAGATGACATGTGTACTTGACATGTGTGCGCAGCCCAAACCCCTCAGGTGGCGTCATTCGGCAGACACGCTCTTTCTTGTGTTTGCTTTTGCTCAAAAGCACGAATGTGGTTGATTCGCATTCTGTGTTCATTAGCTTTTGAATTTAGATAATTATTGGGATTTTTACCCAGTAATTTAATGACTATGATTCAAATTTCTGAAATTAAAAAAAAGGTCTGACAATTATACAATATAACTAGAAAAAATCTATGAAATTAAAGAAAGTAAGGCTTCCTTGGTTTTTAAATTTTTCTTGGCTAAATATTGTAAATATTGTAAATGTGTTGTTAAGACTCAGGGAAATTTAATCTTTCGTACTTACAAATGAAATTGAAACACATTTTAAGTGATTCTTCCATTTCTACCTTAACCTCCGTATACTGTATCTTAAAAGATTAATTTAAGATAAATGTAAATGCATCATTTACATTTTCCATAGGATTGTTAGTTGTTTTTTGATAATCTTGGCCTAAGGTTTTAAACCAACCAACAAAAAATAACAAAGAAAACAAAATAGAATCAACTCAAGTTATAACTATCAAAAGCCCTAGTTAAATGTGTTTGTCCTTTTTTTTTTTAAAGATTTTATTCACTTATTTTTAGAGAGGAGAGAGAAAGAAGAGAGAAACATCAACATGTGGTTGCCTCTCACACGCCCCCTACTGGGGACCCGGCCCTCCACCCAGGCATGTGTCCTGACTGGGAATCGAACCAATGACCGTTTGGTTTGCAGGCCAGCACTCTACTGAGCCACATCAGCCAGGGCTGTCCTTTTATCCTAAGCAAAAACTCTTTAATAACGGGAAGAAATGGAGTAGAAATGAGTGTTAGAATAAAAGGCTTTGCTTGTCCATGTGAACGACTTTAGACCAATGGGAGTTGCTGTACAACACGGTGGGTAGGGATATAGAAAGTCCTCAGGTCAAATGAAGACTAGACTCTGGAAGGCCAGGATCCTTGGGGGGAAACATTTGATGGTCAACTGTGCTCCTTTCAATCATCCCAGAAATCTCTGTTTTACCAACTAAAATGAACAAATGCCTGCAATTTCCTGCTGTAACAGCCTCAAATATGGAGAGGTGACCAAATTATATTTTAGCTGGGATACTACCAATCTAGGTTAAGTAGGTAAGGTGTTCTTCATTACTTGCTGCATGATCGACCCATGAAGGAATTTTAGTATTTCGTGAAGTTCTATTGAAAATCAGATCTGCTTAGAAAATCTTTCCATTGTTAAGTCATGAATGCATTCGAGATGTGATTATGGAGACTTATTTACTGAGCATTCACCATTCGGATGTGTTTCCTATTATAAATGAGAGTGTGTATAAGTGAAGATTATTTTCACTGATTAATGAAATGAGGAATTACTCTTTTGCTAAGTTTTAGGTAAGCCTATTTCATTTTCTTGGTAGCTGACTATATATGGTGTGGTTTCTATGCAGCAATCTTCCGTTTTGTTTACAATTGGTGCTTTGTCCTTTCTACTTAAAAGGTAAGTTTGTTTATATTAGAACATCCTGGGAGGCAGAGAAGAGGTTATTACCAACTACAATATCTATGAAACAGAGTTGTCTTATTTGCCATTGGTGGAAATTGTAGCTTTTGTTCTGTTAAATTCAATAAACATTGCTAAATTGTGAATATGGCTTACTTCAATCTAAAAATGTAAGTGGTTCCTATCTAAAAATACTATTCATAGTTTTGTTTAACAGCCATATCAGATTTGTTTTTTAAAAATATTGTATTTTGCTAGACATCAAGTTTTACTTTTGGATTTATTATCATAAATAGAATTAAAAACTTTTTAAATATATGAAGGTAAAGGAAGTTCTTCAAGCTGAAAGAAAATGATATCAAATGGAAACTCAGATCGAGACAAAGGAATAAAGAGTGCTAGAAAAGATAAGTATGTGAGTAAATACAAAGGATGCTGGTTTTCTTTCTTTTTTTAAAAATTTATTTATCTTTAGAAGTGAAGGGAAGGAGAGAAATATCAATGTATGGTTGCTTCTGGTGCATCCCCTGCTGGGAACTGGCCCCTGCTGGGAACTGGCCCTTGCTGAGAACTGGCCTGCAACCCAGGCATGTGCCCTGACAGGGAATTGAACCGCGATCTTTTGGTTTGCAGGCCCATGCTCAATCCACTGAGCTACACCAGCCAGGGCTAGATGCTGGTTTTCTCACTTTAAAATTTCATTTAAAGCTCAGCTCAACTTCCGGCCAAGATGGAGGCGTAGGTGGAAACATTGTGCCTCCTCGCACAACCAAAATTAAGGACAACAAGATTTAGAAACAAAAACACAACCAGAACTGACAGAAAATTGAACTATACGGCAACCATTCAACCAGACTGGTAAGAGGGGCAGAGTTGGCAGCCGGTGGAGAGGGGCTGCAGCAGAAAAAGACAGTGGCTGGCAGACCCTGGTGTGCAGGTGGCGTGGGGCTAGCGAACCCTGGGTGAAGGGTGGCAACAAGCAGACCCAGTGAGGTGTGCAACGTGGTTGGCTGACGGTGGTGACACATTCGTGCACAGATAAACCAGGCAAAAATGGGCAGTGAAACAGACCACACAACCCAGGGCCCCAGTGCTGGGAAATAAAGCCTAAAAGCACCTGTTGAAAACACTTGTGGGGGTTGAGGTGCCAAGAGTGACTCCCAGCCTCGCAGAAAAGTTCGTTGGAGAGACCCACAGGGTCCTAGACCATGCACAAGCACCCCCTACCCAGGAACCAGCACCAGAAGGGCCCAATCTGCTTGTGGTAAGCAGCAGAAGGGACTGAAATCCAAGAGAGAACAGAGCAAGCTCCATTGTTCCCTCTCTGACCCCGCCCCCACATCCAGCATCACAACCCAGCATCTGGGTCGCCCCACCCTGGTGAACATCTAAGGCTCCGTACCTCATACATAACAGGCATGAACAGACCAAAAAATTATGGCTCAAATAGAAGAACAGACCAAAGCCCCAGAGCCAATACTTTTAAGTGACTAAGAGATAAACAACCTACCAGATGCACAGTTCAAAACACTGGTGATCAGGATGCTCACAGAACTGGTTGCTTTTAGTCACAAATCAGATGAAAAATGAAGGCTACACTAAGTGAAATGAAGGAAAATGCACAGGGAACCAATAGTGATGGAAAGGAAACTGGGACTCAAATCAATGGAGTGGACCAGAAGGAAGAAAGAAACAACCAAACAGAAAACGATGAAGAAACAAGAATTCAAAAAAATGAGAAGAGGCTTAGGAACCTCCACATCTTTAAACGTTCCAACATCTGAATTATAGGGGTACCAGAAGGGGAAGAGGAAGAGCAACAAGTGGAACACTTATTTGAACAAATAATAAAGAACTTCCCCAATCTGGCAAAGGAAATGGACTTCCAGGAAATCCAGGAAGCTCAGAGAGTCCCAAAGAAGTTGGACTCAAAAAGGAACATACCAAGGCACATCATAATTACATTAGCCAAGATTAAAATGAAGGAGAGAATCCTAGAAGCAGCAGGAGATAAGGGGACAGTCACCTACAAAGGAGTTCCCATCAGACTGTCAGTGGATTTCTCAAAAGAGACCTTATAGGCAAGAAGGGGCTGGAAAGAAGGATTCCAAGTCATGAAAGGCAAGGACCTACTACCTACACCCAAGACTGCTCTACCCAGCAAAGCTTTCGTTTAGAATGGAAGGGCAGATAAAATGCTTCTTAGATAAGGTCACTTTAAAAGAGTTCATCATCACCAAGCCCTTGTTATATGAAATGTTAAAGGGACTTATCTAAGAAAAAGAAGATAAAAGATACGAACAGTAAAAAGGCAGCAAACTCACAGTTATTAACAACCACACCTAAAACAAAAGTAAACTAAGCAAACAACTAGAATAGAACAGAACCACAGAAATAGAGATCACATGGAGGGTTAGCAACAGGGGAGTGGGAGGAGGAGAGCGGGGGAGAAGGTACAGAGAATAAGTAGCATAGAAGGTGGGGAGAAAATAGACAGGGGGAAGACAAGAGTAGTGTGGGAAATGTAGAAGCTAAAGAACTTATGACACATGGACATGAATTAAAGTGGGGGATGTGGGTGGGAGGGGGTGTGCAGGGTGGAGGGGAATGAAGTAGGGGGGAATGGGATAACTGTAATGGCATAATCAATAAAATATATTATTTAAAAATTCATTTAAAGATAACTGACTAAATAGGGCAAGAAAAAGTGTGTTGGAGGGTTTATATCATCTTCAAAAGTAAAACGGGGTACAGCGGAAAGGATGGGAGGCAATGGAATGACATCACTGTAAAGTTCTTATATTATAGCTGAAACGGTATATGATTTGAAGGAAGATTGTGATAAGCTAAAGATGTGTGATGTCAACCCTGACAACCACTAGAAAAGAGAGCTGTACAGTTATGAGCTAATAAAGGAAAG